TTAATTTGCACCAATATTTGAAAGAAATTAATAAGAAAAAATGATTAAAAACGTTAAAAAAAGTATAACAAACATTACATTGTAGATTCTTCAAATATTATCGTTTGTATTAGTATGATTTAATTTCGAAATTAAATTAATTTTTTGTAATTTCAGGTTACATATACCAAAATGACAAACACAAGTTTGAATCCTGATATATTGCCAGCCATTCTTGTTATCATTCAAATTTCATGTTTACTAAAATTTTTAAAAGCTGAAAAGAAGTCAAGAAGATGGGGTGTACGACCTATAAATCGACGTAGAGATGTTCTTGGCGAATATGAAACTCTTTTCCAAGAAATGCAAGAGGACGAAGATTATTTCTTTAAATACACAAGAATGAGCAAAGAGAGCTACCAATATTTATTAACAGAAGTAACACCGTATCTTCTTAAAAGAAGTCGAAGAAAACCGCTTACTCCTGGACATCGACTTAGCATGACACTCAAGTAAATTATCCAATTTTATATTTTCATTATTAGAGCAATAATAATTATTATTTTTTAAAGTTGAATTATTCTCCATATCTTCAATTATACATTTCCAAAAATTTAAATATTTATAAAAATTATTTTTGATTTTTTAAAGAATCGAATGTATAGTTCAAGATTTTATAAATAATTAAATTTCAGAATGTAATTATTATTACAGGCTTCACAGTCTGTCTCCTGTTTCTTTAAAAGTCCCCTTTTTTTAATTTTGACCCCTAAACGTACCCTATTTTGAAAATTTTCCCTAAATTTCCCCTATTTTTCTCGTCGCAGGAAATTAATTTTTTTTCATTTATTTTGAAGTAATTCTGCAAAAGAATTCTGTTGGAATATTGTATATTCGCGCCTAATATCTCGCTTGACTGTAACAGTAGTTGATTCTACGTCACTGGCGTGTGCGCACGCACTCCTTCTACTTCTCGATATCGCTTCGACCGTGAACGTCTCGATCGTCAACGAGCTCTTAATAAACGACCGATTTCATCCGTATTTGTGTATTATTATTGACTACATCCTGCTCTAAATAATCTACATGCCAACAAATTCAATTATCTTGATAACCAACAAAATTCTCCGCATAAAATCAATTATTTTAAGGATTTTTAATGAAATTCTTTTCCAAAATTCAATTATTTTAATAAATATCAAAATTTTTCTCAAGAATTCAATTATTTTCGAAAATTTTAATTAAATTCTTAGAAAAATTTCAATTAGTTTTATAAATTTTAATGAATATCTCGTCAAGAATTTAATTATTTTTATAAATAGAAAAATTTTTCGCAAAAAATTCAATTATTTTTAAAAATTGAAATAAAATTCTTTGCATCATTTCAATTATTTTTAAAACTTTTTCGCAATTCAATTCTTTTAAAAATTTAGTATTTTCAAAAATTTATCAACAAATTTAATTATAAAAAAACTTGTTGATACAATTTTACGAAAAGATTCAATTATTTTCATAAATAATAAAATTTCATTTACGAATTTAATTATTTCCATCGTATAATTTCAAATATTTTTTATACAATTTTAAATAAATTTCTTGAAAATGCAATTATTATTACAAATTTTATTAAAACTTGAGGAAAGAATTCAATTTTAAGAAACATTCAATTATTCAATAAAACAACAAAATTCGTTGCAATAATTCAAATATTTTCATAAATAACATTTAATTCGCCGCAGAAAATCAATTATTTTCAAAAATTTTTAATTAATTTTGCAAAAGAATTCAAATAGCTTGATAAACAATAAAATTGCATAAATTCTTCCCATAAAATCAATTATTCTAAGGAATTTTAATAAAATATTCTTTTCCAAAATTCAATCAATTATTTTGATAAATATCAATATTCATGGCAAGAATTTAATTCTTTTGAAAAGTAATAAAATACTTTGCAGAAATTAAATTATTTTTAAAATTTTTTGAAAATTCTCGTCAAGAATTAAATTACTTTTATAAATAGATAGGGAAAATCTTCGCAAGAATTAAATTATTGTCAAAAATAATAATAAAATTCTTTTTATGAATTCAATTATTTTCAAAAATTATTATTTAAATTCATTTTTACGAATTCAATTAATTTTAAAAAATTTAATAAAATTCTTCAAAAAGTTTTTAATTACTTTAAAAAATTGTTATAAAATTCTTTAATATAATAAATTTTATTGAAATTTTAATTAAATTCCTGAAAAGAAATGAAATATTTTCAATAGTTGTTAATACAATTCTTCGTAAAAATTAAATTTTAAGAAACATTCAATATTATTTATTTTTGTATTTAAATAATTGATTTCTTGTAAAATTAAATTATTTTTTTTCGTACTTTTAACTAACAATTCTAAAGAATTAATTTTTTTGAAAAAGTTTAATTAAATAATAATTGATGCTATTGATTTAAAGTAGAATTTTAGTTACAAATTCTAGAAAATGTTAATTGAATTGAAATGATACAAATAATTTTGAAGAAATTGCAGTAACAATATTCTTATAATAATAAAATAATGATTTTGTCAGTCGGTCATCTTTATGCTTTATAATAATATTCTTATGAGTTGTTCAGTTTGAAATTTTTGAACATCTTAATTCCAATGGAAAAAAATGTTATTATTAAATATTTATTTTAAATAAAACTATTAATGTTCTCGAATAATTTTACTTTTGAAGAAATTTTCGAGAAATTAGATTAAAAATGTATTAAAAATAATTGAATCACTGTAAAAAAATTTCATTGAATTGAGAAAAGTTTTTGAAAATAATTGAAATTTTTTCAAGAATTTTATTAAAATTTTTTTAAATAATTAAAATATTGCCAAGAATTTTATTAAAATTTTTGAAAATAATTGAATTTTAGAGACAAATTTTAATATTTATGAAAATAATTGAAATTTTGACTATAAATTTTATTAAACTTTTGACCATAATTAAATTTCTGCTAAGAATTTTATTACTTTTGAAAATAATTGAATTCTTGAGAAGAATTTTTTAATAATATTTCCTTTTAAATCCTACCTAAATATTTTTAATACAAAAATAAATAGTTTATTGAATAATTGAATGTTTCTCAAAATTGAATTCTCATAAAGAATTTTATTAACAAATTTTTAAATAATTGAATTCTTTTGACGAATTTTAATCAAATTTCAAGTATAATTACATGTTTCAAGGAATTCGATTAAAATTGTATCAAAAATAATTGAAATTCTGCTATGAGTTTTATTATCTATGAAAATAATAATTCAATCCCTGTAAAAAATTGTATTACATATTTATAAAAATAATTGAATCTCTGTAAAACTAAATTGAATATTTTTGAAAATAATAGAATTATTGCGAAGAAATTTATAAAAAAATTTTAAAATAATTAATTTCTTTTGGAAAATTTTATTAAAATAGTAGATATTGAAAATCATTGAGTGGAGGAGAATTTTTGAAAAAAAATTGAATTTGTTAAAAAGAATTTCATTAAATTTTTTGAAAATAATTGAATTTTGGAGAAAAATTTTAATATTTATAAAGATAATTGAAATTTTGACGATAAATTTTTTAAACTTTTGTCCATAATTGAATTTTTGCAAAGTATTTTATTACTTTTGAAAATAATTGAATTTCTTTGATGAATTTGAATAAAAATTTTAAGAGCAATTATACATTTTTCGAGAAATTCCATTAAAATTATATTAAAAATAATTGAAATTTTGCGATGAGTTTTATTATTTATGAAAATAATTGAATTATTGCGAAGAAAAATTGTAAATGCAACTCTTCTAAAATTGAATTAAGAAATTTGAATTAAGAAAATTAAATTAAAGAAAAATTAAATTTCAAGAATAAGCACAATAACTTTAGAAAACAATAATTTTCCAGGATTCCAATCAAAATTCCTTGACTTTTCCAGATTTTTTCAAGGTTTATAAAAATTCCCTAACATTTCCAGGTTTTCCAGGTTTCCAGGTTGCGTGGCAACCCTGCAAATATTTATGCTACATTTGCATGGCAATATTGATAATTATAATTTTAAGTTATACGTCAAAATGATAAAAATTTCAAAATTAAAAAAATATCATTAAATAATTTAGATCTTAAAATTATATTTTCAAATAAAATTCTTCCTTCATTTTCAATAGTTCTAAAATATATTTATGAATGTTACAGTATATCCAGAAGTTTTTAAAAATATTCACCGAGTCTTCTGAAAGAAATTTATAAATTTTCGTAACTTTTCAACGATTTTAGAATTTTTCTAAATCTTTTAAAATATTTTTGAATTGAAAAAAGTAATAGATATTACAATCATATTATGACAATGTTTATACAGTTCTTTAGTATAGTTTTATTATACATTTTTTACATAAACTTATGCAAATTGAAAATTATTTACATTAGGTATTTATATTAGAACAATTGATTTGGTTTTAACATTAATTTTCCTTTAAATAAAAGTTAAACGAAAGCGTCAAGTAAATTACTTTGCAATTAAAATGACCCTTCGTTAACTCGGTCGTTCTGACAATGTACACTACCTTCGTTTAAAAAGTAGTTCATTAAACATTCTCGAATATTAATAGCACTTAAATTTTGATTGTAAGCATGAGGAAAAGGAGCAAACGCGTCCATGCGAAAGTCGTGCCTCCATGCTCCTCCAATTTCTACCCCTTCTTCGAATCTGTCAACAAAATTTGTGACGCGATCTGAAGAAAGGGACCTTAGAAGCAAATCATTTTAAGGTTGGGTTAGAGTTACTTTTTTCTTGTTTGAAAGTTTCTTTTTACTTATTTCGAATTAAAATCAGTGTTTATTAAATATTTTAGTTTTAATGAAGACTTAAACTTTAATGATTTATATTGACAGTTGATCCTTTTTTTGTATTTTCATTTAAAAAATTGCAAACATAACCTATAATTTTTTGCTTCTAAGGTCCCTTTCTTCAGATCGCGTCACATTTATTGGGCAATAATGTCTGGCATCCTCGGGATTATTCTCCTCTTTAGATCGAAGGTAATTATGCAAGCACGCAGCTGCAAGAACGATCAATTGTATGTGGTACTCCGGCATTTATTGGCAACCGAAAAATTCTCCATTGAGAATATAAAATCCCAAATGCATTTTCTATTGTTCTTCTAGCTCTACTTAATCTGTAATTAAATACTTTTTGATTAAATGGCATGCGACCAGTTGAACGTCCTGGAAACGGACGCATGATGTTCCTATCCAAAGGGAAAGCCTCATCCGCAACAATGTAGTACGGCAAAATTGGACCACTTGGAAAAATCTCAGAAGAAATGGGAAGGTTGAGGCTTCTATTTAAAAGCCTTTTTCCAAAATGACTCTTTTTCAATACTCCTCCATCACTTTCTTTGCCTCTTGCCCCAATTTCTACTGCTATGAATTTGTAATTGGCATCGCAAACTGCCATTAAATTAAGGCTATGTTGTTTTTTATAATTTAAATTAGTAGATCCGCTGTGGGGTTGAGCCTGTTAATAAAAAAATAATTCGTTTTTAAATTTCAATTACCACAATCTAGATTATTTGCATTAGAAATATATACAGATAGTAAAAAAGTGTGCGATTTTCTTATAATCAACATAAATATTCTTTTAACACTTAAAAAATTTTTTTTTTAATTTTACAAAGTGTGCTAAAATCGCTTGAATAATTATACAGGAAAATTTAAGAACTATACAAATTATACAAGATAATAATCTTTTGGACATTATTATTTTCAGATAAATATAATTTTCAAAATTACATTTATTATTATATTTATTATTATGATTACAAGTAATTAATTTAATTAATTTACTGTAATTAATAAATTCTTTTTGAAACAAGAGGAATGAAAATTTTTTTGAAACCAGTGTTTTAGCATTAGAAAGTTCAGAAAAAATTACTTGCAATCAATTATTTTTATAGAATATCTATAGGATATTACATTGATATGACAGCATAACCATTTTTACTGTAGGATTAAGGTTTCTTAAATATCTAATATTTATATTTCAAAATAAAGTGTATGAATTTAAAAAAATACTTGCTTGCATAACAACATGCTTCCCATCCATTGCTCCTATAGTATGAGGAGATTGCCAATTTTCTTCAAAACCTTCTGATATCTTTTTCCATTCTTCTGGAGTTTCTGGAAAACGCATTACCAATGGCTGCAATTTATTCCATAAGACTTCCATAGTCTTATAGACGCATTTAACTGCTGTAGAATTTCCCATTCTGAATTGCATACTGAGCGACGAAAGACTCTCCCCTGTGGCTAGAAATCTGAAATAATAATTTAAAAAATGAGTTTCAACGAAATTTGGACTCGCACTATATCTAGAGATAAAATTTATTTACTATTTGAAAATAAACAGATGATTTGCGATATTGGTCTTCGAAAAGTAAATATATGTTACCTTAATGTTAGCATCAATTTTGTGGAGGGACTAATGATGTCTCTGCGAGTTGGTTGGCTTAATAACTCAAGACCTACTTGTTGAAGAAGCTCTTCATACTGTAATACTGTAAGCCTGGTGTAATTTCTGAATAATACGTCATCCAGCAACGCTGTTTCGATGGCAAAATTGTGAGCACCTGCAAAAATTTAACAACGCATTAAAATAACTCATCATTGTTCAGTTTTCAGTTCCATAAGTATCACATTAAATTTAAAAATATATTTCCAAAATTCTATAAAAATATCTATATAATTTAAACTTTTTTCTGGTCGACTCAACCACAAAGGATGAACATGGAACCTCCTTCTTCTTTGCTTTCTTCGCCGTAGTAGCATAAGCATTAAAATAAGCTTCTTATTATTATCATCATCGGATTCTGACGATGATGAACCACTCAAATCGACATCCATGGCTGTCAAAAAATTAAATAATGAGTAATTCAAAGACACATTTCTTATGTGGGTGATTCTTCTGAAAGTGACATTTTTTATGTCTCGATTAATTTTTAAAAATCTACTATCTAATAATTAATAACAATTTTCATAGTAGAAATTTAGCATTTACTTATCATTAAAAAAAAAATTTTAAACAATTTTATTCAACTGAATTTATATAATACCTAAAATAATTTCATCTCCGAAGCCTTTTTAGCATGTCTCCAATAGGACTTCCAGAGGGAAAATAAAATTTTATGGTATTTTTCAAACTCTTAAAATTTTTTTGAAAATATTGTCAAAAAGTACAATGTTTTTTTTATTATTACATGAATTTTAAAAATTTGTATATTTTGGTTTTGTATATGATAAAAATGTTTAAACTTTGTCTTCAGTTTTAGGTTAAAATTACTTCATGATGATTAATCGTATTTTCACATATTAAAAATACATTGAACGAAATTTTTATGTATATTGAAATAAAGCTGAGAGTCTGCTGTTTACTTTTTTCATATATTACTTTTAAAAAGAAAGAAAAATATTGCTTCTAGAAATAATCTAATTTTCAATGTTGATCCGAGTAAAAATTCAATTTCATCTCCGAAGCCTTCTTTTTTATTAAATAATTTAATATACAACTAAATTTAATGGAATGTTTCGGTGATAATATAAAATTACGGTATCATATTTGTATACTCTACTAACAAATACTTTTTAATTGTGCCCTGACATGAATAAATATTAAAAAAAAAATATTTTTCATCTCCGAAGCTTTTCATCTCCGAAGCTTTTTCCTTGAATGTGCGAGTTTTTCTTCTGTTTTTAATACTTAACCTGCCTTGTTTTGAAAAAATTAACCTAAATAAATGCAAATAACTATCAAACTAGATACGTCAAATGTAAACAATTCGTCAATATTAGTCTTTTAATTGAACTGAATGTAATTGGTAAGTATTACAATGTGCATATTATAATTTTTGTAAATAGTGTGAATCATACGTAAATGACAATAGCGTGTATTTTTTTATAGAAAAACTCCCAAACCAAGTAAAAGTAATAAAATGGAGCAACAAACTCAATCTTCTTCGCAGAAAAAAAAAGCAGAAGATAAATTAAGAAAACGAAGAGAAGCTCAGAGAAAAAGAAGAGAAAAAATAAAAAATGATCCAATAAAATATGAGTTAATTAAGAAAAAAGAAAGGGAAAGATTTGAATTCAGAGTATTGAATGGCAAAATAAAATCAAAGGCTAGTATGACGAAAGAGGAATTAAAGAAACATCGTGGAAAAAATTTGGAAGCAGTTCGTCGTTATCAAAGGAAAAAATCTCAGAATATTGAATCGAGTGAAATAAGAGCGAATAAATCTGAAAATCACGATATAAACTTAAAATCGAAAAGAGGACGGAAAAGAATTAGGAAAAGTCAGGATTCAAAATTGTATAGAAACAATATTCAGTTAACGGAAAAAGTGAAATCTTTAGATAAAAAATTAAAAGCTGTCCAAAAGAGACTATTGAGAGTAAATAATTCAAATAACAATTCAGTACGTAAAAAGAACTCTAAAATATTAAAAAAAATACTAGACAAGGATACAGTTAATTCGACGATTGCAACAAAATTAGTAGAAGGAGAAAAATTCAAAGAAAAACTTAAAACTATTTATACAAATACAAAAAATTATAAGAAAAAACAAGAACTTAGATCTGTGTTTAAAGATAGTGAAAGAAAAAATTCTAATTTGCTGGTCTCCTATAAAGAAAGAATGCGAAAGAAGGTTATGATTCGAAAACAGAAGCAAAAATATCTTGATGAAATTGTGATAAAATTTTACGAAGAAAACAGTCGAATTCGTCCAGGTAAAAGAGATTGTATTACTAAAAATAAAATTAAGAAACAATCGTCCTTTCTTAATTCTCCATTAAAAGATCTTCACAAAAAATTTTGCTTTGAAAACCCGAATGTTAAAATTAGTTATTCACACTTTTCAACTTTACGTCCTTTTTGGATAATTCCGCCAAAAATTAGCAATCGTGATACTTGCTTGTGCATGAAACACGAAAACATGCATTTAATTACAAATTCACTAATAAAAAATAATATTATTGTTGGTAAAAATATCGAAACTGTCATTGATTCCATTGTGTGCCAACCGAAAAGCGAAGATTGTATGCTACGTAGGTGTAAAAAATGTAATCTGAAGAAAATACAATTCAAAGAAAATTTAAATGGAAAGAGTGAAGTAAAATACCAAAAATGGAAAACGAAAAAGGAAAACAGAATTTCGGCAAAAACAAAGAAAGAAATAACAGTTCAAATCACTTGTAAAGAAGAAACTGCAATGACAATTAACGATGTGAAAAAAAACTTTCAATCCAATTTGCTTGTTGATTTTATGGCCCACATTCAACGCATCAATCGACAATTTAATGCGACAAAATGCATCAAAGAAGCACTTTCTGAAACAGAAATTTTTATTTTAATGGACTGGAGTGAAAATTATGATTGTAAATTTGCAGAAGAACCTCAAGCAGTACATTTCGGAGCGTCAAGGGAACAAGTGTCTTTACATACTGGTATGTTTTATGCTCAAAATTTTTCACAGGGTTTCTGTACATTTTCGAAAGACTTACGCCATGATTGTGCAGCAATTTTAGCTCATTTAAATCTAGTAATGGAACACATTTTAAAAAATTTTCCAAATTTGAAGACAATTCATTTTCAAAGTGACGGGCCATCGACTCAGTACCGGAATAAAAGTATGTTTTGGTTACTTTGTACTCAGTTTTCCAGAGCCTACAATTTACAAAACATAATCTATAATTATTCTGAATCTGGCCATGGAAAAGGTCCAGCCGATGGAATTGGTGGTTTCATAAAACGTACGGCAGATTCTATTGTAGCTCATGGCAAAGATGTCCATAATTATGACACTCTTGTAAATGTAATTCAAGAAAAATGTAAGAATATTTTCATCGGTAAAGTTGGTGAAGATGAAATTAATCAAATAAGTGCACTAGTACCAAAAACAATCAAGACATTTAAAGGAACCATGAAAGTTCATCAGTGGAAGTGGAACACATTATACCCAAACTTGATTCGATTCAATGAAATGAGTTGTTATGACTGCAGCGTAAAAGAAAAGTGTAAACATTTCTATTTAGGAGAAATAGAAATTCAAGCTACACCATCAGAAGTTGTTGAAAAACGAAAAAGGCAGAGCAAACAACATAAAACTGCTTCAAAAAAAGTAAAAAAATAAGAAAGTTAAAAAGCAATAATTTTTTTCATTTAATTGTTTAATGTAAAAGTTTATGAATTGTGTAAATAAATTTCGTTTTAACAAAAGTGACTTTTTTTTACTAAAAAATTTGCAATAATAATATAATTTAATCAAAATTTATCAAACTTATTTTCCTTCTTAACCTTAAATTAAAAAATGTGCTATAACTTTAATATTTATAATAATTAATTTTGCGCAACTTGAATTCTTACTCTTGAGTATGAAATAAAGTAAGTTCAATAAAAAAAACCATATAATTTAAAAAAAAAATTAGTTGCAAAATCGAATTTCAAAAGTGGCACTTTCAGAAGAATCACCCATGTAATAAGCTGTTTACATGTGAAAATTTTTTAAGGACATTAAATTAATAACAAAACTATTCGCAAGTAAGTTTAAAGTGATTCCAAGTGAAATAATGAAAGTCAAAAAATTAACTTTCTGAAATGAGTTTAAAACTCTGGTGAATTGTTGTTTTATATGAGATAACAATAAAATTCTAAAATGTGTATTCTGCAGATTTTAAATTTATCAATCATTCTTTTTCCATCAATTAATTTTATTTAAAATTACACTACTAGTGTTATACAATCAACGTATCGAAGAATAATTTGCAAATGAAATTTAAAATTTATTTACGTTAGTAACTTCAATATTCGTTCAAAAATTTTTTTAAACTTTTAAGTTTGTTTTTATTTATTGTTTTAAACATAAAAAATTATATTTCTTTATAAAAATATTGCCACATGCACGTGGCAAATTTCGACTTGAGTTTAAGTTGAGCATAAAAGCACAAATTAAATTTTTTTATTATTACAAATATATAAATTAAACAGAGGAAAATATGTACTTACCATAAAAACCAGGTTTATTTAATTAAAATTATAATAAATTCCTACAGCGAGACGATGAGCTAGACCAGGGAGACCGACACACGTGCAAGCAGGTGAAGGAAAAGAAAGAAGGAAAGAATCACTTTTGAGGTTAGAATACCTCCTTACAAGCATAGAATAATGTTTTAACATTATTCATTATTATTGTTAACAATAAGTAACTGCAATTAAAACTAATAATATTGAAATAATTTTTCTTATTCTCTTTAAGCAATTTTCATCAATAATTTGCATTTAAAAAATATTATATTTTAAACATATTTAAATCGTCCGCCAATTTTCTTTTCAGCAGACAGACGGAAAAGCGAGCTGTGAACGATCGGCTGTCTGTCTGCGCAGACAGACAGACAGCCGAGGTGTGCGAGTACCTTTAGAGTGATTTGACCTAGACCAAAACACAGTTTCAACTGCCGGGCTTGGAGAGCTTCAATGTCGCTCTCTGGTACTCCTAACGCGAGAGTCCAGCCCACAGCCGCAGCTTGGTCTGCTCTCCCCTCGCTTCCCGAATACACCCTCCACGCGGATGTATCCACCCCGGTGTTTTGTCTACCAAGGTTTTTAAGGATTGAAGCCTGGTTCACCCTAGGACCGGGTACCCAAGCCACAACCCTTACCAGCTTGATCAGCTCAGCCGGATCCACCACCTTGATGGCCCCTAACGCCTGACTGAACCTAGGTATACGGCTATTTAGCCATTCCCTAGATTCTGAGTCCAGGCACTCTACTAGGATCGCTCCCCTAGTGAGGCGAACCTCTCCGAAATGAGGATAGGGTCTAACTTCGTCCCCCCCAATCTCCTCATGAATTGCCACCCTTAATTGGTCCAGATTAGCCAATGTCATCTGGACCCTAGGATAGCCTTTCGCGACGATCGCCCCGGCTAATGACGATCTAGTGATCTCCGCAAACGATAAGGTTCCCCCTTGTGGGCCCCTTAACTTTTTTGACGGCATTCTATTGTTAGGGGAAGCCTCCTCCGAGTCCTGCCGTCTTTTTCCCGGCCCGGCCCCCGACGCTCTCCCCCCCTCTCCAGAAGTGTTTTGAGAAGAGCCAGCGGTATGCG